GAGGCTAATTTGTGCCGACTTTTTGCTAATTTTGTTCAAGCCTCAAAATGAGGAGCTGTCACCCGTTCTGTGTAGCACTGATGACAGTGCCAATGATCCATGAAATAAGCTGCCGCTGGCTTTGTTCTGATAAGAATGAACAAATCTGCACAATGTTCAGCTCCCAGAATCTCATTTTCATACTTGCATGCAGGCTAAAAGAAATAAGCTGTTTGCAGGCTTGATTAATCAGACATTGGAGGGGTTTTTGTCTCTTTGATCTCTTTCGTCTCCTAGGTAACTTGCTTGACATTAATGTTGAGCTTGAGTAAAGACAATCAGGAATTGTCGACTAAACTGATATAAAAATTAAAGACCTTAACACTTTAAGTACTCCAGTAATGGTTCCGCTTTACTTCAGAAAACATCTGTTTTCATTTAATTAAAGAACAAAAGGGAATGGCATAAATATTTTTCATAGAGGCCTATTATTCCATAAAAAGTTAAAGTATGATAATTGGTATTTTTAAATAAGTGCCTTGAAAGTGTTCAAAAGGGAGCAAAACTTCATAAATCTGTTACAAGCTAGTAATTCTGAGATGAGTGAAATATTTTATGAAATGGATAAGAACTTTATAGTTGTGCTAGATTAAGCTATTTGAATCAGATGTTTCAAATGATTATCAGCAAACTTTATAATGACAACATTTGGCAAGAAAAACTAACTTTATTTTGAAGTTTGTCTTTAAAAAATCTGTGTTATAAGGATGTGCCATTATATCTATTTTACAACCCAATATGATTTACACATGCTAAACCTGTAAAATTGAAAGGAATTAAAAAAATGTCGCCGTGCATTTGCTTGAGGTTATGCAGACGCTTTTACAAATCTTCCAAGTGGCTGTAAAGATGAATGCCTCAAGGGTCCAGCCAGGGCCCTGCTTTTCCAACCAGCTAAAGCCCTTATCTTAAATCCAAGCAAAGTACCATTAATCTTTTTGAAAGACCTTTTATGGCTTTTAATATATCCCAAATTAGAACATTTTACACCCTTGGTTCCTGAAATATGGTGATAAAAAGCCTTTAGAGCTTAATTTTCCTTACCGCATGCTCTGACCAATTTGCAGTTCTTTGTGATAATGTTTAGACACCTTAATTAAAATGCAGCAAAATATTGGATGGTCTATATGGAAAATGCTGATACTTAGGCTACATGTACAAGAAAATCTGTATATATTTTTATTCATTAAAAAAAATTTCTTTCGTATTGTGTCGCTGTAGTTATCTGATGACCCAAAACAGTCTTTTAATATAGAAACCATTGACCAAGCTTTTGTGATGTTTACATTGAGTAGCAAGATGCATTTTTCTTTTTATGGAAGCAAAAGGGTGATTCTTGTGGGCTTATATTACTTGTTTGTAATACTGAAAAATAGCACGAAATCTTTTGTATTCTGGAACTCGAGTTAGTCATCTTGAGTGGGAAACTGCATTTCTTCTTAACCGTCTTTTCTACTGGAGGCCTTATTATCCTATTCTATTTCCAAATATGTCTTATTCTTTTTTCTTTCTCCACAGAAATAAGTGAAACACATTCATTCTAAGCATGTGAGGACACAAGGTTATGACTTTTCATCATCATTACAAACTAAAAGATGTTTTCTGTAAAAAGTACATAGACCAGATTTAAAATTTTTCAGTTGATAAACATTCCATTTATCGTCCATCGTAAAATAACAGAAATCTGTTTTATGGGAACAACTATATTGTTTGAAAGCATTCCTACATGCCCAGTAGTCTTACTTAGTTTACAGAATGATAGCGCCCTCGTTTGTAAATACCTGCTTAATGCATTCTAATAAGTTATTTTTAAATACTTAGAGACATTTGCTACCCTCCTCTCTGGCATTGGCTGTGCTGGGTTTGGCCTTAGCCTTGCTGGAACATTTAAGAACATTTCCATTGTCAAGTATGTGATATGTCAGGGTGAAAAGCCCACTGAGGTTAAGTGGCTGCACATCCAGGTGCTTAGAGATGCTCCTTGGTTTGTCTCTTCCAAATCCATGAACCCACTACTGAGGAATTAATTAATTAATTAATTAATTAATTTGATACAGGGTCTCGCTATGCAGCTTGGATGCGTAGTGATCCCCCTGTCTCAGCCTCCCCAGTTCTGGGATTACAGGTGTGTGACACCATGCCCAGTTTCAGTGGCCAGCTTGGCACATGGGGTTCTGGGGCCAGCACAGCATGCAATACCAGGGAGTGAACCCAAGTGCTTGCACTTACCTAGGCAGGTGCTTAGACCATCAAGCTAACTCCCCAGCTCTATACTGAGGCATTTTAAATAAGCTAAACATGTAAAGCTTAATGTACCACAGTTTTAGAGAATAATTTAGTCCCATGATTAATATATATGGCAGAAGTATTTCCAGTGGCTTTTGTTTCTTAGCCAAACTATAGGCTTAATTTAAATACAATATGCTATCTGTGTTTTTACATTTATTTATATTGTATAGAAATGGGGGGACTGGGGAAATGGCTCAAGGGCCTGAGTTCAGTCTCCAGTTCCGCCAAAAAAAAGAAAAATGGGTTTAATGAAAAACTACAGTTTTTTAAAACTATACATTGTTTTACCTTTAGGAGATAGGTCATGAAAAAGAGATTGCCTCATCTGTATGAATGTGGACAGCCTGCTGTGCATCATAAACATGGGTCATAAGCACTTTTCTGGTATGAGACAGCTTCTTAGGTGCACACACTGTTGCCCTCATGTCGTGTTGTAGCTCTGTGTTTGCTGGCCCCTTACATTTAGGTGGAGCCATCTAAGCCGTTGAATAGTGTGTGTTGCTTGAGGGACTAAGTACTTAAGAGCAAGTGTGAAGCCTCTTGTTCTTTTGCCTTGGTAAACCTGAAGGCCGCATGTAGAGATGCTGACCTCATGGAATCTTGAAGTGAAACGAGTGAAAGTTCAGTCAGTGAGATATTTGGAAGTTTGACCTGCAGTGTTGACTAGCTTCATCCTGCAGGTGCTAACTTGATTTTTCATGTGTGACAGACAAGTGGGCAGTTTTTCACTGGTTGGGAATTCCATCCTGTTGAAAAATGATGCCCCAGCATCTTCCCAGGGTTTCTTTTTCCCCTGAGATGATGATGCTACAGCCCTTTGATTCTTAGCCTTGTTTTGGTTGACTTAGGTGAACTTTCTGTGATGAACTAGGAACAAAATAACCAAAAGAACAAAGCCAGCATTGAAGCAGCCATGCCTCATCCTTACTTGCAATTTGATAGCAAGCTGTGTTTTGTTTGGGACTGTGTCTCCAGCACCTACAGCAGTGCCGGGTAAATTGTACATCTGTGCCTTCATGAAGTTTATGGAATAAACTTTCTTCTTGTGTGAAAGATGATGGCAGGAGGGCTGCTGACATTGCTTTGAGTGTTGAGAAGATACTGAGGTTGCTGTTTTCTCCAGTGGTCTCTTAAATCACTGTCATCTTTTCTTCAGTGACTGTCTTATTGAAGCACTTTGGTTTGTCAGCTTCCTTCCATTTATGTATTCATCCTTTCCTTAACTGAAAAATAAGATCTGTTTTTCTCTCATTTGTAAAGTCTGCTGAGTGCTTGATTACCCCGTCTCTTTTGCCCTAAAGAAAACTTTTCCAAGAAGAGCTAGAAGATCTAACAAGTTTGCCAGACCTTGTTTTTCTTTTTCTTTTTCTTTTCTTTTTTTTAAAAATGTATTTGGTTGTTATAGGGTTTCACCACACAGCTTGGACTCATGGTGGTCCTCCTGCTTTCAGCCTCCCTCGCACTAAGATTACAGGCATGAGCCACCATGCTCAGACTCTGGCAGGCTCAGCCCACCTTGGGAGCGGGGTTGGCACAGCATGTGGTGCTGGAGATCTAACCGCAGTGCCCACGCTTTGCCTAAGCTTGCCTAAGCAGGCACTTTAGTCTACTGAGCCCTAGACCTTGTTTTTCTGATTGGCTTCTTTGCTTGCACGTGTGTTCATAACTGTTCTCCATGCCTTCCTATTGGCAAGCAGATCTCTGAAGCTTAGGCTTTGATGCACTGACTTCAGACAGTGTTTCTTGTCTTCCACAGATCTGCTTGTCTAGTAACATGCATCACATTGAGTAAAGGAATAGAAAAAGCAAGAAAAAACAAAGCTTTTGGCTTTCATTGTTTCACTTGGGTTTTAATGGATCTGTTTGAGCTATCCATCATAGTTGGGCACCCCAGTCTTGGAGATACTTGCTGAAGAAATAGTTTTGCAGCTAGAAAAAGGCTAGAGGGATATAGAGACAAGGACTGTTATAGATTGAATTAGAGAGGACTTCCTAGCTGGGGTGTTCTTTTGGAGCAGACCTGGTAGGATTTCTGATTGCCTGTCAGGAGCCCTGAACAAAGGGTCTTGCCCAGGGAACACCTGAGTCCTACAGGCTGGAGCCTTTTCATGTTCTGGAACCTTTTATATTCTTTTCTCTGTCAGAGACTTAAAAGCTCTTCCTCATCATGCATAGTGCATTTATGAAGTAGTAATTAGCTTTTCCATGTTTTATTAATCCCATCTGTCACTGCCAATCAGAGCTTCTGATCAGCATGAGATAACTGGTGTGACCATACTGAGTTGCTGTAATTCTAGCCCAGAGCAAAGAAAGTTGATGTCTCTGTCAGTCTGTGCAGCCTTATCAGGGTAAATTCCTGTTCAGCCTATTGAAATGTTGGGATAGCTTGAAGAGCCTCATTACTACCTTGTGGACCCTTGAGGGGCCTCACTTTGGAAAGGATTTTGATCCAGGAGAAGGTTCAACTAGGGTAGAAGGTCTTCGGGGAGGGAAAGGAAATATGGGCCATATCTGTGTGTTCATTTTACTTTGTTCAAGGAGCGGGAGCGTAGAATTTCTGATCCCAGGAATGGCTTTCTTACTTTGCAAGTTCTCACTTAATATGTCATTATAAGTCTTGTATTATCAGGAATACTTGTTTTCACTTCTTTTTTCTCCTTTTTAATTCTTAGCTTGGTGTAAAAATTGCCAAAGCAATTGCCTGCCACAAGTTTGTAAAAGCCAAAAAGGAGATTGAAAACTCACAGGCTGCTCGAAAAAAGAAGAAACTTGCGTGGGGGTAAGTTTCCTTATGATTTTTTAGTAGTAGTTCTACTAACATCATAGGAATTTCAGACAGCTTGTTAATGCATTTTGTTAATCCATTTTGTTGGTAACTTTTATTTTATTCCATATCTTTGTTTATAAGATTAGAAGTATGGAGCCATGGTTTTTTTTTTTTTTCTGTTGTTTATTTTATAAGCAATGGGAGTGTGTGGAATTGTTTTGCTTGGGTCACATAGTCAACATGCACTTTAGCAAAGTTTTATTATGATTTTAGAAATAAATTGAGATTTTTGTGTTCTTCATTTCAGTTTTGAAGCAAAGAAGAGATGGGAAACCAAAAGCAACATGGGATATATGTAACTGGGCAGAACTCTTCAGGACACAGGGAGATTTGTGTGCTTCATTTATAGAAAAGACTTTTCTGCTTAGCTTAAATATATCAGGAAATTGATAGAAGTAGAAAGAAGTAAGCATAAATCTTGGGAGTTATCAGCTCTTCAGTTTTTTTCCTAAAGATTTCATTCTATTGAAATAACTGGAATGAAGTATTTGATATTTTGTATAAAATCTAAGCATACATACAGGCAAAGAAGATAGGATGTTATTTATTTGTACAGATTTATGGTATAAAATCAATGTTGCCTTTTATCTGTTTGGTATAGCACAGCCGTGATCCTTGTACTTTCTTATCTGTTCTTGGCATAGCTGCACTTTCCTGGAATTAATGTTTTTAAGATTGGTTTTTGTTTAAAATGGATTAGTCATAGGTGCAAAAATGTCTCAGTTGATGTTATTTTTTCCTGCAATTACCTTAATGCTATAAACTACCTAAATGACTGTAATTATCTTAATGCTATAAAACAATTATTAATTATTTATTGGAAGCCATGGCATTATTTCATAGTCCACCATAAAAGCAATTGATTAATTTTTGTGTACCTTCAGATGATTACAGTGAAAAAGGAACAAAATACAGTAATTGGGAGCTGATTTACATTCAGCTCTTTCTGGAATGTCCTGTATCGCTCAATCATGTCAGTCACTGTAAGATGCTTCTTAGGTAAAAAGATGCTGTAACTATTAGTCGTAATGTAAGGCAATTAAACCTGAGAACTGCTTTCATACTATTGCCAATTACTCCTTAAAAACTGAATGAAATGTTAATAAAGGTAAGGAAAAGAATGAATGAATTAATGCTCATAGAGTGTCATGGTACCACAGGAAGTAGCGCTCATTAGATGTACGCTTCTAATGGGAAGTTGCTTTGAGAAATCAGATGACAGTTGGTATGTAGGATCACTGGATGGTAGGAAAAATGAGTCATGATTCTGATTTGTTATTTTTAGACTTAAAATATTACAAGTTCTATTTATGGCAATATTTAAATTTTTTCTATGTTCTAGAGGAAGTGAATAATTAGTTCCTGTCTGAAAGTCCAGAAGTCATATCTTGTTTCCATTTTGTTGAGAAAACCCAGAAAGCAAGTATATGATACGATACTGTGTGGCTGATAACTTATCATGCAAAGCCACCCAGACCAAAAACTGGAAAATTGTGTATTTTATGATTTAAAATCCATTGTCTTATTTTGTAGATATCATCTTGTACTACTGTCTACTCCATTGTGGAGAGGTATCCATTTCATGATACACTTTTCATATTTGATGTATGAAAAGTGGGTAGATTTGAGCAGATGGGTGGTGTACAGAGCCTCATAGGTAGAAACAGTTCCTTCCCTTGGGCATCTGCCTCCTTTTTCTTTTTCCTACATGCACGTCCTTAGGGCATTTAATGACCCCTGCAATCATGTTTCACTTTGTCTGCTGAGGCTGCACCAGTGTGACAGTTAGGGAGCCTGTGACCTGGAGCCAGCCATCAGGACCCTTCACTTCACTGGGGGCCAACAGTGCCCCACTCAGCATTCTTGTGTCTGTGGGGACATTTTACTGAGTGGAAGTCAATGCGACAGTACAGATGCAGTCAGGGGACTCTCTTGAGGGAAGTCACATCCCCTTTTGTAGAAACATGAGTTGTGTACAAAGCTTTAAAACATAGTGGTACAGCCGGAAGGTGGGTGGGAGAGAGGATTTAGAGGTGAGGAAGGGACTGAGTATCCTGGGCTGCCCCTGCTAGCATCTTATTTGGGATTGCTTTGCTTGCTCAGCTTTAATTTTTTTTTCGATTTATTTGGTACAGGGTCTCACTGTATAGCTCTGATTCATAATGATCCTCCTGTTTCAGCCTCCCCAGCACTGGGGTTACAAGCTACAGGTATGTTCCACCATGCCCAGTCTTAGTGGCCAGCAGGGCGTGGGGCTGGCACAGCATGTGGTGCCAGGGACTGAACGCAGGTCCTTGTGCTTGCCTTTGCTCAGCTTTATTACAAATTAGACATTTTATTCATTAAAGCAATAAAGTGAGCGCTTCATTCCTAGAGAGGAGCCTTGCTGCCTGAGGAGTGTAGTCATTGGATGTCCCCATTCTTGTCGCTTCGAAGTAAAGTTTCTTCTTGGATCAGCGCTAGCTTTAATTCCTGATGCTCCAGTGTGTGCATGCACCACCAGAACGCTTGAATTAGATTAGTGATGTACATGTCAGGTATTGTTAAGATTAATATGTTTTAGGCCATCGGTATGGCACTAATGTAGCTGTGATTTATTGTGTAAGTACTTTAGGCTAAACGAGCTTACTAAAGAACAGTAATTTTGAGCTTTAGAGCGCTGATCCTGAGAAGTACAGTTGGTAGTGCATTCTTGTTAGGAGCCTCGGGATGTTTCTGACTTTAGCAGAGCAGTCCGTTTCTTTCACTGAAAGGAGAGTTTGGATATATAATTTCAGGCTTGCTATAATTAGTTCTGATGACAGAGTTAAATACCTTGGGCAAGACTGTAAATCAGTAGCTAAACAGGTTTCTGCAACTGATCATAAATCTTAAACTCCATATTTTAAACCCTAATATTTGGAGACAGATAAGGGAGGGGCAGGCCAAAAACAGAAACAAAATGTTATCTGAACACTAGGTTTATACTTTAAATCTCACATTTAAAATCTTTTGCCTTTTGTCTAAGATATCTTTTAAATATTTTAATAACTCAATTTCTTAACTGACCAAGTACGAATCTAATTTCTAAAGTATATTGTATAACTTGAGCTATGTCTTGAATTCTCATTTGTTAGGTAAGGATTAATACTAACTTTTTTAGAAATAATATGTCTTACTATAAATACTGTATGAGGCCAATGTTTAAATAAGATGCCAATTATGCATTATTTTTTAAAGAGATAAAAGTGTAGGGGAAAAAAGCTGATGTTCTGTCGGTTTCAGTCTTGCAAATCAACTTAGTAAAACCTAGTCATCAAATTGAGAATCAACTGAGACAGTTCAAGTTTTTCTGTGCTGGCAGAAGTTGCTTTTTTTTAGTATCTGGCAGGGTTACAAATGCTTTGCATGTCAATTTAATATTTTTTCAAGCCAGCTGTTTATTCATTGGCTTAAAATTTACACTCTACTAAAGTCTTAGCTCTGACTTTCATGAAACAAATAGTAATATTTGGACAAAATATATACATGGAAATCTTTTTCCGAAACCTAGTGTTGTAGATTGACATTTGTAGCATCAGTGCCTTGTAACCTGGTAACAGACCTGAAAGTGTTTTGCAAAGTCAAAGGCTTTACAAAAGTGCTTCAGTTGTTATTTTTTAAATGGTATATATATATTAGAGAAGTGCTTTACACAGAGCTACATTCCTATTATGTTATTTTTTAACTTCATTTTAAGACAGTCTCACTAAGAGGTCTCAGTTTTCTTCATAACTCCTGCTCCTCCTGTCTTGACTTTCCTCGTAGTTGAAATTACAGGTCAATGCCACACATGTCTGCTGCAGGTACTTTAGTTAGCAAGTAATCAGAACCTCTTTATGTGTTTTTAAACTTCAATTAGAGTAGAATATGTGTTAGAGTAAGTTCCCACATGCTACTGAGAGAGATAGTTTATCAGTACTGAGACAGTGAGACTGCTTTTCCATTTTTTGATGCTGAGGGGCGCTGTATATTTGATTAAATGAGCAGAACTGCATTCTTTAGTAATTATTTTTCCACTACAGTACTCACTTTGAAAGGAAAAACCTCTTCACACATTTCTTTGTGTTACGGCTTTCATCCACACAGACTTGATTGGGAAAAGTATTCTTGACCAGTGAGAAGTAGAAAATAGGACATCGGGCCTGGAAAGATAGCTTAGTAGAGTAAGTGCTTGCCTGGCAAGTGGAAGGTCCTGAGTTCAATCCCTCGTACCACAAAAAAAAAAAAAAGAACGGGACATCGTGGGGCCAGTATAGGAGACCACGAAGAAACTGGCGTTGGAATGACATGTGCTGCCTGTGCCGTAGCCCTCCTCTGCCCTCTGCTGTGTGTTCTGGGGGAGGCGGTGCTTGCTTGGCCAAGATCGCCTCGAATGCCCCAGTGCCTTCTGAGCCTCTTACTGCTACCCTGGCTTGGTGATTTTGATCCCTGGAACACAGCTGCAGGCTTTATGGGGCAGTTTATGAAATGCCATGCTATACCCCGTGTGTTTATATCTGCTTGTAAAATCAAGATGTAGCTGAGGCATGATGCATAATTATATTTTTATTAGTATTAGTAATCCCTTCTTAAATTCAAGTAGAAAAGGCATAAAAATTTTCCAAGTGAAAGGGCTTTGTTTAATTCGCATTTGGCTAGAGCCTTTCTAGCTAGCCCAGACGGGCCTCCACCTCAGTATCTTCCTGCCTCAGCCTCCAAGGTGTTTTCATTACGGGTAAGTGCTGCTGCCTCTAGTTACTACTCCTTGTTCAAGTGGTTTTTAAAGAAATTTATGCTTAGTATGGTATATGTCTTTTATGTCCGGATCAGGTTTCTCAAGTGTCAAGAGAATACCCAGGAATGAAAGGGGAAGGGAAGGGAGTGTCTCAAGGAAAGTTTGGGCTACTGAGCGCCCCTGCCTGTGGGCACCACCACCGGCTGCAGCCTGGGTCATGAGCTGCTCTTGGCGAATCACGGCAGGGGTCCTGCTATGTGATGGGCCCGGAATGAGGTCACCTTCTCACCTCTTTATTTCAGAAGGGTGTGTCTGTCCAGTTATTACTTGTTCATTGAACCTAGAGTTAGAAACCCAGAGCTACAGTACAAGCTGTAATTATTGATGTCTGTTTCATATTCTGTAAGTTCTGGCATTTGATCAAGAAGTTAATATATCGCTTCATCTTCAGGCCAAGTGTGTCTCAGCTATCAAAATTTTATTGTTTGATGGATAGCATACAATTATGACTGCTCAGAAAAAAAAAATGTTTTCATTTGTAAGGTGAGTGATACTAGAAGAAGTAATTATGGATCTTACGAGGAAACGTGGAACAGTCAAGCTTTGACTTTCCTTGAATTCCTCCCTACACATGACTTACAGCGCATATACATGTCAGATACGAAGCTGACTGGTGCAGAAAGATGAAAGCTTTTTTGATGGGAAATGCATGTAAGCCACCTTGGACATGATTCTTACACGGGTTGTTTGAAAGTCAGTGACTTTCTTCTGGACACACAAACCAATCGACCTGGGCATCTGTAGGGTACTGATCTTCCTGGCTGCTAGCTGCTGCTGTCTAGCTCAGCATCTGTTCCTGACTTCTGCCTATTTCCTGCGTTCTCTAGAGGTAGGAGTGGCTGGTACAGTGTGACTTGGAAATGAGTGTGACTATTCTGTGTGTGACTTAGTAATTTGTAGAGCTTTTCTGACACTATCAATGTGTCCTTTATATTAGAAAGATTAACAACAGATTGCCTGCCAGTAGTGGGGAAGGACTGGCTACTGCTGTAAACGTGCTCCTCAAAGTAGAGTGACTCGAGCACAGGAGAAGTTGGTCCTTCTGCTCTAGCAGGGGCCTTCTGCTCTAGCAGGGGCTCAGCCCAACTGACTCCGCCTTGCTTTCCTGGTATTCCCAGGCACTGCCACAGTCAAGTGGAAAAGAAAAGAGCAGTGGAAGTTATGGGCCTGCCAGGAAGTAGAACTCACTACTTCTTGCTTTGTACTGGTGAGAACTTCGTTATTTCACCACACCTCACTGCAAAGGAGGCTGAGAAGTATAGACCAGCTCTTCCCAGGAAGGCGAGGAAATAAACTTTAGCCAACAGCCAGTGGTGCCTACCACCTTGCCTCAGCTACACACAGTGTTGAAGTGTGAAATTTAAGTTCTGCTGATGTTAAATGGTGTGAACTGCTCTTTGTGACTTAATGCAGTCACTTTTGCTTAAATGTGTTCACAGAGCTGAGTCAAAATAGCCACTGGACTTAGCAAGTAGTGTGCATGCTATGGACTGCAGGAAGTGCTGAAGCGGAGCTATGTGTCAGTGAGGCAGGAGAGGAGCTTAGAGCAAGTCGAGTGGGCAGCAAGGAATTCAGCCCAGAGAGAGAGAAGCCTCAGTGTGCGACTGAGGGAGTCTGGCCATGTGTGGCAATGGCTGGCTGCCTGGGCGTGGTGATGGTGAGGAGGGTTTTTTTTTTGATTACTAGTAAATGTCATATTGCTAATTGCATCTTATCAAAGTATGTATTTTGTAATGTGTTTGATAGTTGAGATC